TATTGGTCTGATTACACACGAGGTTCAGAGCCGGTCAAGCTGAAGGGCGTTCCCGAAGCGTCCTCCGACGCAGCTCGAGTTCCTGAAGAGGAACCATCACGCCATATGTAGAGTCCCCACAAGGATAGTGAACCAGACGTGTGTGTGTGTGTGAATAAATATATAGATAGATATACTCTAACCCATGTCTACCAAGGTACACTTTTTTAAAGTGCACCTCAAAATTTCTTTAAAATTATTCTGGGCTGCACCTTACATTTTTTACCTTTCTTAAATGATGCATTAAGACAGTTTGATATGATTGACACCTGTTAAAGGCCTTAAGGTAATGCAAGCTCACACTGTAGTACCTGCCCTTTTTCAAGTGTGTCCTCTAGTGCTGCCTCAAACCTTTTAAAACAGCTTGACAAGTCATGCTGACGACAACTTTCCTCTTCATTCATCTCAATGTGAAATGTTGACTGCTGGTCTACAGAAACAGCGGTATTGCTCTGCAGAAAGTCGTCTCACCCCAAACCCGTAATTTAAGAGCAAACGGGTGGGTGGCGGGGGTCCAGTGGCAGGCAGTGTCCCCTCTGATCGGCTTGTCTTCATTCCCCTCACACCACCGAGGGAAAAGCAAGGCTGTGGCAAAGAGCGGTCATTTGCTGCTGTCAGTCACTGTTCAGTTTTGTATACACTCCTCTTCAGACACAGAGATTTTTCAACCACTGCTCTTGAGTGTTTTGTTAACATTTTATTGAAAGTGACTGTAACAATTTGTTTAAGCTGCTTCATAAAAAAAATCTCTTGTGCTGAATAATTGTGTTATGGAACAGAGCCGTGAGGACAAATAGTATATTAAGACAAGGTTTTTTCATTTTCAGATTCTGAAGAAAATGTTAGTTGTGTCTGCCTATGCAAAGCTTTTCAACACAATACTACGTTTTGTGTGGATTGTCAGGGCATTTCTATATAGTTGCTGGGTGTTGCTTACTGGACAGGCTATGGCTCTGCCGTTGTAAGTCTATGGACTTTTTTTTTTTTTTGGCAGTTTTGTTATTCTGAGTGTTGCATGTTGTATTATTTATATATTATTAAAACATTTAATAATATTTAGAATTTTATTTATTTTTTAGATTTTCAGTTTTAGTACCTTTGTTATGTACAGTACTTCAGTCATTTTTATTAGTTTTTTACAAATATTTCTATATAGCTTTAATTTAATTTTCAGTTTTATTTTTTGTAATTTTAGTACTTAGAAATGTTGCCTTGGCAACTAATTTAAATCTAATATTTATATATATTTATACTTCAGCTTTATTTAATTTAAAATGTATTTATTAAGCTTTATTTAAAAAAAATTTAATCATTTTAGAAATTGTAATTATTATAATTTTTTTGTTTTTTTTGTTGTTGTTGATTTTTAGTGTTTTGAGTTTACAACAACAACACTGTCCAGCAGATGAAAATTGCTTCCTTAATAGCACAGCTCTATTCAAAAGCTGCATAATTTGAGACATCAATTATGTCCATTGCATTAATGATGCATAACGGGTTACACACCGAAGCACTTAGTGTAAGAGGTTTGATATTGTGTAGTCATGTCAAACACTGAGTGATTTCGGTTTGTTTGGTTGCATTTGATTGATGAGAATTGTTAAAATTCTGCATGTATTTGCAGTCAGTCTCATATTAAATATCTTGTGCTTTCATAAAATTGTGATTTAAAACATTATATTTCAGTGTCCTTACAGAAAACACTTTTTTTTTAAAGAAACCAGAGCAGTAAAATGTCATTATTGAAGCATATCTGCACATAAATGTGTGGCAGTGGTGTTCTTTCTCTGGTTGATAAAGCTGCACGCGCTGAATATGACATTCAGTATGTCATTCACATGCACTGTGCTGCATACTTAACAGGCGGTTTACCTCATGAGTGATTATTTCAGAGGGAAGGTCAATGTCACTTCTGTGCCTTCCACCATAAAATCAGCCACGCATGCTGTCTTAAGTGGCTGATGAACAGCTCTGTGTGCAGGTCTGACTGGTGTGTGTCGGAGTGTAATCATGGAGGGAAGTGTGGCCGTGGAGTCTCAGCGGAGTGTGATCGGCTGATGGAGTCAAAATTAAAAAAAGACGAAAGGTGTCACCGAGCGCCACTGAATCACCTGACAGGAGAGTGATAAATCACACAAGGAGAGACCTTTTCTGAAAAAAAAAAGGTGAGTGGTGTTGTTATGAGTGGTTGCCAGGGTAATTATATGCAGTTGTTCTGAGTGGTTTTTACTGTGTTGCTATATGGTTGCTAGGGTGTTTTGATTGGTTGCTTAACAAGTCAAAATGGCCAAGTTTCTGTGATGTTCTGGTCTCTATATAGATGGCTAGGGTCCTTTTATTGTAAGTCTATGGGTTTTTTGCCTGTTTTATCATCCGTCAAGCCAGCTGAGAAAAGTAATTGTCATAATGATGCTTTCCTGAGCATTTCCAGAGAAAAAAAGGAGATGAAAAGGCTGAATGAGGCAGAGAAAAAGGAAAACCGTGTGTAATATCCGCCGCTGTTATCCCCACATCCAGTGTTTTTTGTTGAAAGATCTGTGATTTTCAGCTAACCATACAATTACACAGATAGAGGCCGGCTACAGCATTATAATTTACACCACTGTGCTCGAATTACCATCCTCTGTTCCGTTTGATTGTGGGTATTTGTCTGTGTATGGGTAAATCACTCACCATACATTGTTTGAAATAGGCCTAACAAGGGAATCACATACAGATGTTGAATATGACTGCAGATCAATTGGTCCATTCATCAACAGCGAGTAGTATTTAGACACCGCCAAGGCTGCGGTCTTTAGGATCGCAGTAATTACTCACTGTCAGCTCTCAGCCAGGTGATTAGCACCGAAAAACAATGGGCCTGCTTTTCAGTTTGTCCCTCGAGGAAGCCTATTGTTCCTCAGGAGGGACAGTGTACCTAGAATGACAGAGATAAATAGTAATGCATTGATATTATCATCATCCAGGTCTCCTGAAAAGCCACGTGTGCTGCTGTCCTTCAAGAAAATGTCACCTCGTAGCTGGGTATGTTTTGATCCTTTTGATTAATTTGCTGTAGATTCTACTGTCTTTCCAAAGATTTGACACCTTTTAAAACTTCAACACTCAACCCGTAGCTGTAAAGCATCATGCAACTCTTTTAATGACCATATTGTGGTTCAAACTTGCACTTTTCTCTTAAATTGTCAGACAAGTTTTGAATCTGGGTCTCTAACTAACCAATAACAATGATTTTTAAGTCTAAAAATGAATCTTAAGCAGGTGAATATGTGGCTCCCTTTACACATCACATTGTCATGCTTTTTTGATAATGTGTTATTCTATATCATATTGTGATTGGATTGCTAAAGCATTTGGTAGTGGTCTGTGGTTTTGATCGTGTTTAGAACTTTAATTAATGCAATCTCATTTCTCTCTTTTCTAAGAAAGTGCTTCAAAACTTTTTCTGTCCTTTTCTTCACTTTCAATCCCTGTTAATTTCTTTACAGGGGGGTTCTTAAAAAGAGCAAATGCAAGAAATGACAGAAAGCATGTTCAATTATCCATCAGTTTTTTTTTCTTTTCAAATTCTGTAAATTAATGAAATGTGTCAGAACCTCTCTATTAATATGTAGGCTAAATGGAGATTTGCATTTTGCGGGGGTAAATTTATTTGTAAGTTGCTTTGGATAAAAGCGTCTGCTAAATGGCTAAAAGTAAAAGTAAAGTAAAAGTAAGTGCAGTCAGTTCTCTATCCGAACACACTTGACACACATTAGAATGAAGGTTTAAATGCATTCAGCTAAAAATATTCAGATACTACCCTGATACAAAACCCATCTTAATGCCAGATGTAAGAGGTTGCCATCTTTTGGAATGTTTACCATTTGCTAGTTAAGTTTATATTATCTGATCTGGTTACCAATCATACTAATCTAAAAATATATATGAATCAGTCACAACCAAATGCAACGGGGAAATGTCGCAGCTAAGCCTGTAAATACTCTCCATCCAGCATTTATTTCAATATTTCTCTTCAAAATGTTTTTAAATCTATCAAGAAATCATTTTAAAATCTCACCCTGATTTGCAATCTTTTGTTCATTCAGAAATTGAAATAAATTTTAACAGAACTGGTCATTGTTTTACTGCTTATCTGTTCAATTTCAATGACAAACCTGACCAAATATATTTAAATATGGCCCCTAGGTGGCAATATAGTCTGCTGGGTGATTAATGAAGCACCTCTCTCTCGTTCGCTCTCTTTCTCCCTCTGTTTTAATGGTTTGGCAGAGATAATGTGAGAATTACAGCTAATCTGTGTTTATTCCCATGAGACAATCACATTGTGTGCCTGTTCATTATTCACTGTGCCACAACATGCAGACATTTGAGTCCAACTCAATTACACCAGAAAGTCATTTAGAGAGGTCATTATTCTACACAACAGTATGCACATAACTGAAAGAACAAACCAAAAAATGCATTTCTCATTTTCTTTTTCTATGGGTTTATAACTTATCCTTTGATGGTAATTAATTTTTGGCTGCATGCTTTTGTAATGTGTAAATTATTGCGACGCTGTCTCTTTAAAAGGCAGGACTGTGCAGCTACACCTCCACTCCCTCTCTCATTCTGTAGATGATGTCACTGTGGCTTCCCTTAGACCGCTGAGGAAACTTGATAGCACTCCATCCCCTTCTCTTCTCCTCTTCCCTTTTTCTTAATCTCCCTCTCTTCTTCTCTCTATCCCTCTCTCATTCTCCAGCAGCGATGTAGTTCTCTTTCAAACTTTAACAGCTGTTTGGCAATGAAGTCTTGACTCATATCCATCACGCGTGGACCTCTATGGATTCGTTCCCTGCTTCTTTTTGAGATATTTCCAGAGTCGCCTCTCTTCATTCATCTTCTGTTTACCTTGTCGTGTTGGTGTGTTTGGACCATGGCCATGAAGGAAACCATACTCCCTATTAGTGAGGTGTCAAGTCCATACCCGGAGGTCATGGAACTCAACGTTGGTGGCCAGGTGTACGTCACCAAGCGCTCCACCCTAGTCAGCGTACCTGACACCACCCTCCACACCATGTTCACACGGTGCAGCCCACACGAGTTGCCCCGTGACAGCCGAGGGCGCTTCTTCATTGACCGCGATGGGTTCTTGTTCCGATACGTGCTGGACTTCCTACGGGACCGCCAGCTTGTGCTACCAGAACACTTCCCGGAGCGGGAACGTCTTCAGCGTGAGGCCGAGCACTTCCAGTTAGGGGAACTGCTTAGACTTTTAGGCCCACGTGTAGCCAAGCAAGGCTCGCTCAATGACGAAGGCTGCCAGAGCGACATTGAGGAAAGTTCGCAGAGTAGCGAGTTGGTGACTCGAACTGGAAACTGTGCCACCACCTACGCGTCTTCCTCTTCCACCCTGGACAAGAGGTCTGGGTTTATTACGATAGGTTATCGGGGATCCTACACGATGGTGAGGGATAACCAAACTGATGCTAAGTTTCGCCGTGTGGCACGGATCATGGTCTGCGGGCGTATCGCCCTGGCGAAGGAAGTTTTCGGGGACACTCTAAATGAAAGTCGAGATCCGGACCGTCCACCAGAGAAGTACACCTCCCGCTTCTACCTGAAGTTCACCTACCTGGAGCAAGCGTTCGACAGGTTGAGCGAGGCTGGGTTCCAGATGGTAGCCTGCAACTCAAGTGGGACAGCTGCGTTCGTTAACCAGTACAGAGATGAGAAGCTCTGGAGCAGCTACACGGAATACATCTTCTTCAGTAAGTGGCAGAGCAGCTCTCGCAAACCTGCCTGTGCTGCACTCTAATTTCCTTTTCATGTAGTCGAGTGTTCCCAACCTTGTTCTCAAAGGACATGTCATGTGTTTCACAACCTCCAGCCTTTTCCCCACCAAAAAAAGAAAGCATGCACTTTATTTTATGTGTGCATGCATGCATTTATTTTGTCGCTTGTGTGGAGCAGGTGTCTGCTCGCTGCTTGCAAATTAAATCGAAGCATGCTTGAAGATAAATTTGAAGTACTTTTAAGTACCCAACATCTGTGGAGAGTTTGTGTATTATTAACATATCAAATTCTTTTTAATTTTGAATGAAGAAATGCAAACATTGCAAGATCTTCAAGAAGGAATAATTGGCCATAAATCATTGCACACTTGATCATTTGATCAAGATTTTATAAGGAAAAAACAAGGACACCTGTTGTTTTTCTTTTCTTTTTTCATTTGACAAAAGTTATTTTTTCCACGCAGCTAGAAAAGGCTTATGTTTTAGTTCAGATTACTTTATAACAGCTAATAGGTTTCTCTAAAATCAAGTACACTTGATGCCCCTTGGATAACTGTAAAAACTCTGATCTTTCGTTCTTTTTATTCCCAGTCTTCTCTTTCACTATTCATCTGCAATCCCATTTCGCTCATTTAGCGTCTCCCAGTCACACTCTTTTTTCTCTCTCTCTTTTGAACACCTAACTACCCACACATGCTCTTTCTCCTGCTAGCTCCTCTTCAGTATGTTGTGACTTTGATGCTGTAATTCATTGCAGTACATATAAATGTGTGTCATAACTGGGACAGCTAGTGCCTCGGGCCTGACGTACTGAATAGAGAGGATAGTAAGGCACACTAGGCAATCCCACGTACCACTTGTGTCCAATCATAAAGAAGCCGAACGGATCAAAGCCTCCTCAGCCAATGTAAATTAGAGTTGGATTAAATGATTGCAGACTAGTTCATTCTTATTGGCTGCTTGCGGGTTTGTCATTCATAAATTGTACAGACAAGTGCTAATACACTGCAGGCTGATGCTTTCACACTGCAGTTACTGTGAGTTCACTTTTACAAGGTGTCAACCAGAATGCAGTGCAGCATATGGTTTCTTACTGAACTGATGTGGTTGTGGTGGGCCGAACCGCAAGCTGGTTTGATTGATTTGTGATTGATTGGTAGCTGGTTAATTGTGTTAACTGTCAGTAACTGACAGTGGTGAAAACTGTCTTTCATTGAATGTGAACACTCCTTGAAACTGCTTGAAACATTTAAGCGTGTTTTAGAGGGTTTTGTGCATGTGCACATTTAAGCTGAGATAAGACATAGCTGCGTGGACAGGTAGAGAAGTGTGAAAACATGCCGATAAGGAAAGGAAGTACCATCTAGGAGGAAGAAAAATCTTACTTGGGTAGATTTAAGCGAGGTAATGGAACTTCAAGAGCTAATCCTACCGCTGCATGTCGCAGATAATGAGGCTGTGTGTGTGTGTGTGTGTGTGTGTGTGTGTGAGAGAGAGAGAGAGAGAGAGAGAGAGAGAGAGAGA